TCATAAATATAATTTTTTTAATTTAATCAATTTTTTATTTCTCATATTTACCAATTAAATTATGACATTTTTTTTATTATTGTAAACTTAAAATATACAATTAATAATATAACAATTGCAACATATATTCTAATTGTAGACACCCCATTTTTGACCGTCCTCAAGACTTGGACGTCCCCGTTTGAACACTCGGTGATTATCCATGTTTGTGTTCGTTTGGAGTCCTAGGCCTAGCTCGACTCTAATGCACATAAAAACTCCCTCTCAGATATCATTTAGAATGCAATGCAAATATATTAAGGCCTAAAAAACTTTTGATGGATAGCTTTGCATTTTTTAAGAATATGAATAACATCATCGATGACAGACAACGGATGAAGATGAGGGTGTACCTATAAAAAAAAAAATGAGATGGTTGGATAGACAATAGATGGCAACAACCCATTATTAGAAATGCGATGAATAAAGTTTGAATTGGACAGTAACAACGATGGACACATCAATGAATGAATAAACAACAGACAAGGGACAATGAATGAAGGACGAATAGTCCACAAGCAATAGACAAAGTCTTAGTTTTGAACAATAATAATCACAGTGGACACACTAGATAATGGACGAAGGACAACACATGAGTCTCATTTTTAGTCTTACTGTCTAAACAAACAATGGCAGTTAGATTTTAGTAGTTTTTTTTTTTCCTTTTAAATCCTTCGAACAAATTGGGTTATCGATGTTCAAAAGGTAACTCAGGGGTAGGAATGGCAACGGGCTGGGGCGGGGCCGGGGATCACCCTTCCCGTCCCCAATCCCCGACGGTGAAAATTCCTCCGTCCCCGGCCCCGATCCCCGACGGGGAACCTGTCCCCGCCCCCTAACGAGGATCGGGTTTCCCCGACCCCGAAAATTTCCCGGCCAAAAAAAAAAAATGCATAATACCAGCTAAGTGAAGATCTGTTTCATCTCATCATCATCAACATCAACAACAACAACTACAGTTTACAAAATCATCATCATTGATCATCATCATCAACATCATCAACAACATGTATATCTATATCAATGATGTTGATATAGTGAAAATCTTGAGAACCAGTATATATATATTACCTCAAATCGGAAGAACAATGAGAGATAGGGCTAGAGGGTGACTAGTGAGAGAAGAACAGTGGCGGTAGATCTGGAGATGAGACAGCAAATGGAGGTGTGTGAAAGAGAGAGAGAGAGTGGTGGTGATGTCGGTGACGGTGGTGTGATCAGCGGCTGACGGTGGTGCTCAGAAATGTTCATCGTGACTCAGATATGGATGGAGCTCTTCGTCGCCGATCTCTCTCTAGACTTCTCCATCGTGGCTTAGATTTGGAAGGTGCTCAGAAATGTTCATCTCTCTCACAGAGAGTAAAAGGAGAAGAACGAGAGAGAGAGAGTTGCGATAGATATTAGATATATAATATAATAAACCCTAAACATATATATATATATATATATATATACGGGAACTGTTCAGGACGGGGCTGGGGGAACCTATCACCGTCCCCGACCCGGAAATAATCGGGGATTCAATTTTCAATACCATCCTCGACCTTATAGGGGGTAATTTTCGGAAAAAATCCGTTCTAATCGAGGTGGGGGGGTAGGGTCCCCTTCGAACCAAATTCAAATTGCCATTCCTAATACTAATTGATACATATAACATTATTTCTCTTTAAATTGTTGGCATTAATTTGTTTTACTCAAATCATTAATGAGGATGAGAAAGGAGGTGAGGGAGGGGTGGCCGGCCGATGGAGAAGGATGAAAGGGAGTACAAAAAGAAGAGACAGGAGAGAGGATTAAGGTAAAAAATAAGGGGGTAATAATTTAATTTTGTCTTTATAACATTTTTAAAAATTTCTTGTTAAATGGGATGATTTTAGATTCTCCACTTTTGCAATTATTTCTTCCTCTTTCCAAAAAAATAAAAAAAAAAATTTGTTAACAAGAAAAATGTTAGACATTTAGGCTTATTAGGGTAGTAGGTTAAAAGTTTTTTTTTTTTTTTAATTTTTTTTTTTAAAAAACGTATAAAAGTAGAGGGATGATAAGACCTAAAAAAGTTAAAAAATCTTACTTTTAACCCAATTGCTTTTGGGAAGATAGTAAAAATTGACTTTTTGACTTTTAACCAAACTTTTGGCTTTTTTAGACAAATGGTTTGGGAAGTTGGTAAAAAGTGACTTTTGACTTTTTTTATTAATGTTTGTTTATGATGTCAAATCATAATAAAATGACTAAACTACCCCTATTTATTTAAAAATTTACAACTTCACCTATGTAACACATTTTGACCCATGAGGGTAAAATTGTAATTTCACCGTTGGCTAAAAACCAACTTCCCAAATGAAAAAAAAGACAAAAAAGCCAACTTTTGGCTTTTGCTACAAACCAAAAAAAGTGGCTAAATGCCAACTTCCCAAAATAGCCCAAAATAGGCCTTATAATTGAGATTTCAAATTAACATATCACTCGTGCTATGCACGGCTAAAAAAATAATTTTAAATTAAATAATAATATAACATTTATTTAAAATGTATAGAAAAATAGTTTAAAGTGAATTAAATTTTAACCATTTCATTAGAATATGTACATATTGCAGTTGTTATATCATTAATTGTATATATCAAATTCTTAATCAGAAATAGATGTCATAATCTAATTGGTAAAAGTATAAAAAATATAATAAATTACAAAAAATATATTTATGATAAAATAAAAATACATGTCTTCCTAAAAGTTTTTCAATTTTATTTTATTTTATATTAAAGTTTGTCCAATTATACATAGCTAAAAATTTCATTCATATTTCCTATTTCAATATTTTTTAATTACAAATAAATAATTTTTATCTGTACTCTTTTTTTAAATCTCAAATTAGATGCAATTTATATATGGTTAATTTCTTTAAGAAGAAAGCACAAATCCCCTTTTCGTTTAGGGGGATTTGGTGATAGCCCCCTCACTATCTAATTTCTCTTTCAAAATGACAAGAATTATATAAGTACTTTCAAAACCCCCTAATATTTTAAAACTTGTTTTTTTTACTATATTACCCTCATATCTATCAGCTCTCCTATTAAGCCATCTTCACTATATATTTCAGAGTAAAATTTTACTCTGTATAAAAGTAAAATTTTACATTCTGAAACTAAAAGTAAAATTTTACTCTGTATGAAAGTAAAATTTTACTCTGTATAAAAGTAAAATTTTACATTCTGAAACTAAAAGTAAAATTTTACTCTGTATAAAAGTAAAATTTTACTCTGAAAAACTAGTAAAATGTTAGACTCTACATAAAAGTAAAATTTTACTCTGTATAAAAGTAAAATTTTACTCTGATTCTGTCAAATGAGAAAAACAGAGCAATAGAATCAGAGTAAAATTTTACTTTGGTTCTGTCAAATGAAATTAGATAAAAAACAACAAAAATAAATCAAAAACAAACAAACAAACAAAAACAAAACAAATTAATCAACAAATAAACATATCTAATTGAGAAAAAAAAACTTCAAAAAAAACAAACAAACAAAAACAAAACAAATTAATCAACAAATCCACATATCTAATTGAAACGAAAAACTTCTAAAACTCGATCAACAGTCACACATCTCAATGAAAAAGAATACATGTGTTCAACAACACTCATACACACAAATATATATATACATATATTCTACTGTTCCTCATTCACATCCTTCCTAACCTTCTGTTCAACTTCTTTCAATCTCGAAGCTTCAGTCTTCGCATTCAACATCGCCAGCATCTCATCAACAACCCCATCATGTTTCTTCTCCGCTTCCAATTGAGCCATCTCCACCGCACTCCGAATCTCCATCTGCTCCGAAACCCTAGCTTTCGAATCTCCAACGACATCCTCATTCAATTTCAACATACTCAAAGCCTCATCGTTGCTGATTATGAAGATGAAGAGAGGACCTTATCCTGAAGCTTGGAAGACGCTACTATGGCGGCGGCTTGTCGACGACCTTCTGCTGAAGCTTGGAAGATGCAACTATGGTGATTATGATACAGTTGATGACGAAGCTGATTATATATGCAGAAGTTGAGGGTATAATAGTCCTATAAAATATTTAAATAATAAATTTTGTCCTTTATGCAAGATTTTATAATTATGAGGGGGTTTAGAAAGTATAATTTTTTTCTTAGTCCTTTTAACAATGAAATGAAGGTAAAAGGGGTTTATAGCCAAATTTCCCCTTCGTTTAACTGATATCTCTTGAAGTATTTGTTTTGAAAAACTTGTGGTCATCGGGCCTTTGATATATCATTTATCTAGTGATCGAGAAATGCAACTCGATCAAGGTCGAGCCAATTATTGTAATGCTTCACTCCCAACTACAAGAATTGGTCTGGTTCAAATCCCTTCTGCCTTAAACAATTCGTACGCATCTTTTTCTTTGTCTTTTGTGCAGTAGGACCTTTAGACACTTGAGTTGCTACACCCCCACAGGTTGGTATGATATATACTCAATTACTCATACTTGATTGCTTGATATATCCATGCCAGTAGGGAGGGAAATACTTAATTGGTTTCGAGCTGCCCTTTTCTTTTTGAATATGGAATTCCCTTTGAACTGTGTCTGTGTGTGTGTGAGAGAGACAGTGTGTGTTTTTGCTATTTGCTACTTTTCTGTTCATAAGTGCAGTGGATCACAAATATACTTGTTGGCTGTAAAAACATCTTCAATGTCAAGAAGAGGTAACAAATAAAAACTTCAAATCTATTTTGTTGATCTCGAAGTCTTTTTGAAAATCCATCACGTAAGGGTTTTTCCTTGCCAGTCATCGAAAATTATGGCATTCACATTTCACCATAGATGGCCTAGGCGGTCCTAGGCTTTAATGCAACAATGTTTTCTAATGAGTAGTTCAAGTATATCAACAACATGCGCATTTTATGAAACAAATGTTCCAAAAAAAAAAAAAAAACCATAGATGCAAAAGATTTCGACAACTGGTTAAATATAAACCCAAACAGGAAGCTGTATAAGAGTTGTACGAAGCAACCATCAAATGGCAAAACGTTGAACATACGACAAGTATAAAATGTTGGGTATGTAAAGAACTTGTCAATGGTTTTTGGATTATTGTCAATACTTTTAGATAGAGGAGTGGGTACATTCTTGATCTAAGAATGGGGGGTCAGCCAAACCATCCTCTGGATCATGTGGAGAATCACCAGGCAAGATGGGAGCAGGAGGAACTTCTTCCATATCCTCTGGAGCACCAGATTCATCCTCTTCAGACTGTTCAACCTCCAATGCAAGATGTACTAAATTAGTTATGTCCATAGGGGGTACAATCTCAAGTTTGTGATCTGGTGTGTGCTGCTGATTAAAGCGGCCCGGAAGCTTGGAGGAACTATTATAGCAGCCTTCACAGAGGTCAAAGCCAATTCTTTCCTTGCAGTCTTTGCATTTGTATCGTTCCCCAATTATTGGACACACCTGCATCAAAATGATGAGGAAATTTTTACTGATTACTGGTTTTTAGTGAAAAAGATGAGAAGATTTACATGTTTATTTGATTTGGAGGGTCTTGCACAATCTAGCACCTATAGATGTGTGGTCAATGGTCAATGGTCATGTGCCTAAAGACCAAGTAAAGAACTTCAAATTTCAGGTTGGACATCTTTCTGGGAAAAGTTAAGTACACACCCGCTCTCACTCTCATTCACGCCGACTGTGAGAGAGGGGTATGTGGGAGTGAGAATGGGTGTGTTAGTACGCACCATTGCATATTTCCACCAAGTCTCACCCTACATGAATGACATTCATTCCTCCCACTCTTTACTATGCTCTTGGTCATTGCAAGACAATCAAGTCCAAACTTAGGTCAATTCATCGTGATGATAATATATACCAATATAGTTTTCCAGCTTGTGGTCTTGCACTCAATTCTAAGTTCTTCCCACCATAATGATATTAATAAATATGCGACTTTGCAACATGTTTGTGAAAGAAACGGTGAAATACACTAATGAACGTCTTAGTTTTAGTGAGCAACTAGTGATGGTCATCCAATTGTACACTCCATTAAGAAAAAGCCCCAAAAGGGAGAAAAAAAAAGTTTTAGTCAGCAATTACTAATGTTCATCTTAACATATGCTTCGTTTGACAAGTGCCGGAAAGAACAAAACTCCTTATAGCAGAGTCACCACAAGACATACAAGCAAAAGGTATTCATGGTGATTATCAGGTTTCCAAAGTCATGCATATATTGTCTTCCAAATTATAGAACCACAAAGCAAGACAAAATATTGGCCTTACCCCGCAATAATCACAACCAATTCCGAAATGAACCTTGGGTCCTCGGCTAGACAACATCGATAGGTAATCCGTGGTAGGTAATGTTGATAGCCAGGAAGCATTTTTCGGGGCTTTTGTTGAACCTGCCACTAATTTATAGATCATATTAGCAGCAGCAAGGTTTAATCATGCAAAAAATAACACTATGGAATATAAATGGGTAACTAAAATCTAGGGAGTATCGTTGAATAATCCATCAGTATCGGCACGGGAATATGTAAAATATCATGTTGACATCGGTACAATTATCTCCCAAATATTATGCAATTAGTTTAGAGTCCGGAAGTCCTACTTTGCCCGATAAGTGAGGCTAAGGGGTGGTCACATGTATCTCAAGTTTGCACTATTGGGCTAGGTGGAAGGGGCCTTCCTAGATCGGTTCTTGGTTATCAATATATATATATATATATATATATTGTGCAATTAGAAGTATCCTAAGATCAACAAAAATCCAATGTAAAGAAGCAGCTGAAACTTAAAACATACATGTTGGTGGACTCCCATTGTGACTAGCAGACTGTTTGGATGCAGCCTCCTTTCTTAATGCATATTGTTCTGAGAACTGCTCCTCCAAGAAATGCTTCAGTACCAAACAAACTTTTGGGTTCCCATTTGGATGCGCACTTGGACATACTTGACACATGGGGACCTTGTCGTCAGGACTGATGATACAAGTTTCACAATATACTGCACAAAGGAAGACAACAGACCGACATTTCATTACATAATTTTTCAGACTTCAACCGTGTACAATGACGATTTAAAGCAGTAAAGTTTACCATGTCCACAATTAAGAACTACAGGTCGATAGAGCAGTTTCTTGCATATAGCACATAGGAAATCGGCAATAAGCACCAGCTTGGAATTTTGCTGTTTATTGAATTTATCTCCCAGCATACCAATTTGTCCAAAGGGCACATTTTTAGTGGCTTCAAAAGTTGATTTTGCAGGAATGGGCATTTTATCATCTTTATGAGGCGCAATAGTACTTTCTGATTCCCCTTCCACTCTAGAACATGGTCCTAAACTAACATTATTGCATGAACTGGTAGTAGAATGTGGGGGAACACCACTGTGGATATACGACTCTTTAATTTGTTCTGATCCAGATAAACAATTATCAAGCTGGGGTGAGAACTCATCCGATATCTTTTCTTCGTCTGAAACAATGAAATAAGAAAACATATAGAATTGCGTTAGTATATCAGATCCTTGAGAAAGAATGAATTTAACACAAATCAATGAGTATGAGCTTGAACAGCAACGGGGTTAATCACAAGATGCATAATCAGTAACTGAAGGGTTTAGAAAATGTATGCATTAATTATAAATAATGGTCGAATGAAAAAATAGCACATCAGTTTCTATATAGGCTTTGTTACGAGTGAAAACAAATGTTAACTATAATAGAGTTTGATAGTACTGGATCATTGAGAATGACTTCAAAACATATCAATTACTACAAGCTTGAACAGCGACGGACGAGAAGCATAATTAGCAACTAAAGCATTAATGAATACATATGTACATATAGCTGTCAAATAAAATATATCACATCACATCAACTTTAATACAAATTTTCTTACAAATCAAAATAACTGTCAAATGCAATAACATCAGATAATACCAGATCACTAAGAAAGAATGACTTTCCCACAAATCAACTTACAAGCTACAGCAGTTCAAAAAAAAACTCAGAAGCTACAGCAACGGTTGTTATCATTAGATGCATAATTAGTACTGAAAGCATCATAAAATGAACACATTAATCATATAAAGCTGTCAAATGGAAAATAGAACAATTATTACATAGGTTTTCTCACAAGTCAAATACAACATCCATGTTACATTGCTATACAACATACATAATCCAGAACACATCAATGTGAAAAACATACGAAAATATCTTCCCACAGGCACTGATATATCTACTAGTAAATATTCCACAAAAGTATTCACTTGGAAAAAACTCGCCTATTCCAACTCAAGAACAGAACCAGGTTCAAACTCACCTTGGTTTAATGGAGAATTGACAGAAGGAAGCAGAACCATCATTTTTTTTTTTTTTGATAACTCGGTATCCAGCTCATTGGACCGACTAATTCGGTAGACCAATCCCACTGTCCACTTGTGGGGGCCCAATTAAAGCCAAGGAAAAGCCCTGTTTAGATTGGCCCAAGAAATTGTTTGCACCTAGGAGGTTTCAAACCTAAGACCTTGAAGAGAGCACAACCACTTGAGGTTTATAGAACCATAATGCTTGCAAGCAATTGGTGTCACTTGGTGCAGTCTGTGAACACAATCATTTCTTGTTCTATAAATTCAATTATTTCTGTTCATTAAACTACAAAATTTACTAGAACGTGTTTCAAAATTGAGAAAATAAGTTCCAAAATTTAGCACCAGTTTCATTCTATATTTTGCTTTTCCATTGAATCCAGCAGGCAATAATTGTATTTAAAAAAACAATAAATAAATAAAACACTACACTCAAGCATACATGCATTTACTAACATCTTTAACAACTACGAGATAAAGGGTATTGACAAGAACTCAAGATATCTGTTATCCCAGATACTGTAAATTTACTGCAAATGAATTACTTTCTTTGCTCCCATAGGAGTGTTTATAAGTCTAATATCATTAGTCCCAAGGTCCTTCAGAGGCTAATTGAACTGCCATCTGTGACTCACATACTCAGTAACTAGCTGTCACTAAAAATACCATGAAGATCACAATTACTAACTTTCCAGCTGTAAATGTAGTCATAATGGCTAAACGTTCAAATTATTCTGCTGTCAAGCACCCCGCCACACAACTTTTTAGACTAAAATACTACAAAAGATTTTTTTTTTTAAAATTAAAAAAAAAACATTTTTTTCCTTTAAAGTATAATAGATTTTTTATGCAAATAGATCAAACTTTTACATCTCTGGCATTCACAATTGTAGGCAATTTTGCATTCCTGTAAAGCATAAATGGACATATATTACATATTTATAAATGAAACTAATCATCTATGCAAAATAATTTGATAAGCATAAAAACCAAACATTCACAACACACCTATCACTTGTTGTTCCCTTCTTTTATAAGCTATTGGGTATAACTTCAAAAGCAAGAAGTGCAGTAATTGACAGATACTAGGGAAATGATTGTATGGATGCCGACAAACTGGACAGTGTGACACCAGACAAGAATCCATGGCTCTGAAGACACACCAGAAGCAAGAAATGTGCCCACAGCCTGCAAACATGGGAATTGAACTTTAAAATTAAAGAAGGAATAACAACTGATTTTTAGTCATTGTAATGCCTTCTTACCCAACACAACAGGCTTGTAGAGGAGATCCCTGCAGACCAAAAGGAAATTGCCATCAAAAGAATTATTCCCCAGAATAAAAGATAACAATATAGGTTCAGTTAGTGTGCATCTGGATGTTCCTTTGAATTTCAATGGCCCCATTGTGTTGTCTATGGTTATTGAAGTAAGTATCACCTAAGGTGGGGCCATTGGAAAAAAATAGGATACTTCAACATGTTTCTTGGTATATGAATGAATTTAGGTTTTCTTGAAATGACAAATATTGTTTGTAAGATAATAAATCATTTTCCTAATTGCTAAATCAGGCAAGGATCAAAACTTTCTTTTGTTTCCATCAACATTGTAGAAACATTTCCATTTAAATGAACTGCAACAAAACATGGGTGAAAAATGAATTTCACATGTCTCCATTGTGACAAACAAAAAAATGGTTGAAACGTAATCGAGTAAAAAATTTCCCATCCATGTTGTTGATTGTAACCAAAGGTAGTGTCCCGTTTTCCATTTTAGAGAAAAGAAATATTCACTTTGTTTGGTTGTTGTTTTTCAAACTCAGTTTGTTGAATATTTTAGAGTACTTGTTTGGTTATTCAGAAAACTAAACACACTTTTCAAAAATGTATTATTGCAAATTGAAGTTTCCCTCCAATTTAAGGAGAGATACAATTTTGAAAAAAAAAATTTGTCACATCAAAAACTACTCTCATCTTAGTTATATATATATGTACATGCTATATATGTATGAAAACATAATTTGATATGTAGTCATTTATGGGTACATATCCTACCATTAAGTGTGAGATTTTATCATAAAATTTGCACTCATTTCAACCACAGAAAATGCAATTTTTTTACAAATTAGCACTAGAAAAAATCGTAATTAACTTACAAACTTTTGCAACATGAAGTACAAAAAATTTAGACATTTTGTTATGCCAATTTCAGGCGATGTTACACACGTTTGTGTTAATGTTATGATATTGTGTGATGAAATAAATTTTCTTCATAACATTTATGAAAATTTAATTCTACGTAAAAAAAATTTTAATGCCAATTTGGAAAAAAAATTTACGTTTTCTGTGGTTGAAATGAGTGAAAATTTTATGATAAAGTCACACAGTTAATGATAGGATATATATCCATACATGACTACATACCAAATTATGTTTTCATACATATACAGTATGTACATATATATATATATATAAGATGAGAGTATTTTTTGATGTGACAAATTTTTTTTTTCAAAATTGTCCTCCTGAAATTGGAGGGAAACTTGAAATTGCAATGATGCATTTTTTTGAAAACCAAACAAAGATCCTTTTTCAAAATAAAGTTTTCGAAATCACTTTTTGGAAAAATTATTCAAAAAAATGGAACCAAACATAGTGCTTTTTGTTTAGAAACCCAACAATTGCAACGAAGTATCTTCAATTTCTATGAGATTTAGCTTATAAAGAAAAAAACCTTTTTACTCAAAAACTTGATTCTACACTCCCAACTAAGAAAACTTGTAAGAAACTCACACTCTCTATAAAGAAGAAACTCACTCCCAACTAAGATATAACATCTCAAACATATATATCTCAAAGAAACAATAGAAAAGCAACAACTCAAACTTAATTTTATACTTTATACTTAATATTTATTTATACTTAACAAAGACAAATTTGTAGTTGACAACAATCGCTAATATTTTATTCATTTCTTAAGACATATATTACTACTGAGCAAGGGAAAAAATTGTTATAATATATTAATATATTTAATACATAAGATATAAAATATATACATGTTCTTATAGGCGCTCCCAACCTTAGAAACACCGACACTTGTATGGAGGAAGTGTTTTGTGTCAGACATCCGTGTTAAACACCAACAATCCTTTTTTTTTTGATCGGCGAAAGTTAATTGTTAGCTATTAGATTAACACCCATGGGAGTCAATCTCCCCACCCTTGCAAAGTACCAAGTGTTTGTCCTCTTAATTTAACTTTCTCTTAGGAAGAGTTAACCCCATGACCTCTCCCTTAGGAACTAAGCCCTTAGGAGAATCATGGTGGCCAACTAGGCTAGGCCTAGTTGGTTAAACACCAACACTCCTTGAAGCCTCCTCAAAGGTGTCCAACACTTTTTCAACGTATTTTAATTTAGAAAAATTAAATTCATAAAATTGAACACTTCACCGACGCTTAGCAGACATTTTATCGACACTTCTTTAAGTCTCTAATCTAACATGTCCTATGTGATGAATCTCTTCATAATAACAATGTTATGCATTCTTCGGAACACAACTTATGAACTCTAAATATGTTTTGCAACATTTATAAGGTAAATACATCTTGATATTATAATGTTATGTAATTATTTTGCACTCTTTAGCATGCAATTAATACAAGAATGTTATCTTGATATTTAAGTTATAAAATATATCACTTTTTAATTTATTACTATTATGTCGCATATTTTTTATTACCTTTGAATTAATTATTCAAATATTTAAATATTGCATATGTTAATGTTAAATTTATAAAAATATACATTTTAAACATGTTCCCAAGCATGTTGTCATGCATTTTCTAAAAATTGACATGTTGGTGTGTTCATGTCACGTCGTGTTGTGTCACGTATCTGTGTTTGTGCAACTTAGGATGTTTACTTCATGTATATTACATAGTTCATTCCTTTTGTCAATGTTGTACTTAACTACAATAATCCAATGCCAAAGTCAATTGTAGGCTGTTTGATACTTGTTTTGTAATGTAAAATAATGGTTGGCATTATTTTCAGGGCTCATTTCCAATTTTATTTACTCAACTCCATTCTACTCCCCTCAAGTGGAGCAATGAGCAGGCAATATCCAATTGAACAATTTCTTTTCTTATATTCACTATCTAATAAATCTCTACTTTATGTTTCCGTGTGCTTTCAAGTTTTTTTTTGTGCTATTTCCAGTGCATTTCGGAAAAGTTTCCCTACTTCAGAACACTAAAATAGAACTTCAGAAGTGAAATTTTGAGATCTAATCCTGTTTTTACTTGGAATGATTTGTTCATCTCAATGAGATATTCAAGTTGCAAGAGACATCTGATAGTTCCCATAATAAAAGATATATACGAGCAAGCTACATACTCTATCAAGTAATAAAATTGATAGTCAAAAGACGAATCAAGTGCTGTATCTATTAAGATCAAAAGTTGAAAAGAGTCACAACCGATGATGTAGAGTGTTGCTTCTAAATCCGGTATCAATTTGTGTTCGCCTTGTACACACAAATTTCTTGTCCTAAAATCAAGATATATATACCTATCTAAATTTGTAGTAACAAAATTCAAAATTTTAAATATTGAATTGAGTACAATTTCTGATAAAATTTGTAATCAAAGATTTACAATTTCTTTCTTTTTCCCTTGAAAAATCCTAGATCCGATCATAGCATTAATACGCTAAAATTGCAACGATGCCAATGGAAACCTAACCTATTCACAAAATTTCGAACAAAATCCCCAGGATACATTGAAACCAGTGATTTCACAGCTCAATTGTGAAAATAAACAATATAAGCAAGGCATCGATGGCGATATATACGAAAAACGAATATCTAAACCAAAAGCATTGAATTTGAGAAATGAAATTAGAAAAACAAACATATGTATGCATATATATATATACTAGGGTGTAAATCCACCGGCTGTGCTATTAAATTTATAAAATATAAATTTTGATTTTAAATTAAAAATATATATAGTGTTTATTCATCAAGTGAGACTTTTCAAACCCAAAACCTTCCAAGATCTTAGGTCAAAAAATTATACATTCCACTTTATAATTTTTTTTTTCCTTTTCTATTTTGATATAAATTCGTTCAAATGAGAGAATGACTAAAGTGCGCTGTTTTTAAATTAGAAATATTTGTAGTATTTGTTGATCAAGTGGTACTCAAGATATTAGATTTAAATTTTGTAAATTTTACTTTATAATTTTTTTTTGAAATATATTATGCACTCCAACAAACGTCCTCCCGAACAATTGAAAATGTGAAAAAATCTGATAAAAAATTTGATAAATTATTTAGAATCCTTAGCCTAACTCATTTTTTTTTTTTCTTTTTTATATAAATTCACGTGGTAAAAAGAGATAATAGACTTCAAGAGGTTTCAGTGAGTTGAATAGACTTCAAGAGATTACGGTGAGTTGTTCATATCTATATATATATATATAGAGAGAGAGAGAGAGAGAAGAGGACTTACAGGCAAACGCAACACTGAAACTCATCGAGAATTTCCTCTTCAGCTTCAACAACACCCTCATTTTCCCGCTTATTGTTCATTTCTGTATTGTTATCTCTATGTAGAAATTTTATATATATATATATATATGAGAGAGAGAGAGAGAGAACAAAGGAGGTTTGGTTAGAGCCGTTGCTATTTCACCGGTGTTGGATTAGATAGAGACGAATAAATATAACTTTGTGATAGAGGTGGTAGATAGAAAGACGATAATGCTTGACCGAGCTACAATTAGTTTTGATTGATGTAGATGAAAGGAGAAGATAATTGGGACATATATTAGGGATGAGAAACACTATGGATCCAAATTAATCCATTGAGAAAATGTTGGGTGGTTGATTGGGGCTGTTTGATATAGTTTTTCGAGTTGATTATAATTTATTTTAATTTGAGAGTTTGTGTTAGATTGTTTGGTATAATTTTTGCTTATATTTTATTAGAGTGAAATAACTTAAATAAGTTAAAAAAAAAGCAGATTATTTAAAAATTGGAGAATGGATGCTTTTAGTTCCTATTTTTTGATTATCAATTGTTTGCTTAAAAAAAAGTTTCACCAAACAAGTCATTGTGTGATGGAGATTAATTTATATAGTATAGAGTTCATGTGTAAGATAAATTTAAATCACAAGATGAAAATTTTAAATAATTTTTGAATTGATAAGAGTATGTTTGTAATATTTTTTTTTTGGGCGAATAAGAAAATATGTTTGTATGTTTGTAATATAACTCATTAGGGATAGAAGATTTGATGCCAAAAGTATCCAATCACTACATCTAATTTTTCATTCATTGTTTGAATAGAATGAACGGAATTTCATTAATAGCTAAACCCATTTCACCTTAATCTTTCACGTCTTTCCATCTGAATGTGGTCTATAGGTTAAACATAGTGTAAATTGACCTTTGGAAATTTTTAATCCAAACTTTCGTGTTGAGAATGCATGTCAATTGATTTATTAAAATAACATAAAATTCATGATTGACCTTGATTTTATTTATTTTTTAATAACTCAGGATGTCCGGACCAACTTGCGCGCATTTCGACTAATCCCTGGGAGACCAAACTAACCTTGATTTTATTACTTGACAATTGAAGTATCCAAAGTTAAAATTTGTCGACTACTTGAGCAATAAAACCACAACTTCAGTCTTACAAAGGTCGTGTTTATGTGAGGTTAATTTATTTATTTATTTTGATTATAGAATGTTAGTTTATTAGTAAAGTTATATTACAATTAAAGGAGCCGTGGCTGCTCTATTAACTTGAACCATGACATTCTCCTCACCCCCAACATAAGGTATGACTACAAAATCATTGGTTCAAACCCAAAATTAATTTAGGTGAGAAATTTTGAAAGAGAGTTCAAAAAGGAAAAAAATAAATAAATTATCTTACAATTCATTGTTTTAAGATTCCCCGTTTGGATAACAGAAATGGTGAGAATGTTCAAAACCTACGAGGGATTTGAAGCAGGGATTTTCACAACAGGTAATTTTGAAATTCTTAAAAGATAGGATAGATATATTAAGAGCTTGGAGCACTCTAATTACATAGATTTTTTATTTTATTATTTTGTTTTTACACTTTTTGTGTGGTTTGAGCAGGCACACCCAATTGATTAAAAAATGCCAGGAAGAAATTAGTGGGTTTTTTTTTTTTCTTTTTTTTTTTTTTTTATTTTTCTGTAAATTTTAATTGATGTAGTCAAAATGGTAACAAATTGTTTTCTGAGATTAAAACTTTTGAAACATACATCCAGGAAAATAGTTTGCATTTGACATTTGGGTTTTCTTTGTAAGTCCCTGCCCTGCTCCATTCTAGGGGTTTTGTCAAAAATATATAATTACTTAAATATATTTATTTTTTCTTTTAGGATTTGTACTGTAAAAAAGTATGTTTATATATATATATATATATATATTGCAAACAGTGAGTCTCCTTTTTGTTTTCTCCTTATTGACTTCTCACTTCTACACTTTCAACTTCAGTGACCACGTATACAAACGGTAAGTCTTCTTTTTGTTTTTTCCTTCTTGACTTTTCCTTTTGTTTACTGTTTTAATATTGTAGTTAGATAGCGCATAAAAATATTTGTGATTTGTCTAGCGAATAAAAAATTATAATTTGATTTTTTAATATGATTGAAATTAGATAAATATAAACCCTCACAAAGAGAAAAATGTGATTATAATTAGTTGAATGATTCTTTTTTTTTTTAATGTGATTGTAGTTAGTTTAATAACTCTTTTTTTTTCATTTATTTATTTTATTATGGGAAAAATCTGATGTGATTGTAGTTTGTTCAATGGCTCTTTTTTTTAATATGATTGTTGTAGTTAATTCAATGGTTTTTTTTTAATGTTATTTAATCTTTTTATTTACTATTTTAATTTTATTTTTAATATGATTGAAATTAGATAAACATAAACACTCACAAAGAAAAAAATGCGATTGTAGTTAGTTTAATGGTTCTTTTTTTTTAATGTGATTATAGTTAGTCAATGATTCTTTTTTTCATTTATTTATTTTTTTTATTATGAGAAAAATGTGATGTGATTGTAATTTATTCAATGGTTCTTTTTTTTAATGTGATTTAATTTTTTATTTATTGTTTTAATGGTTTTTCTTTGCAATTATTTATGAAAAAAATATGATTGTAGTTAGATAGTATAAAAATATTTGTGATTTGATTTAATTTTTTTTCTGATTTGATTTTTAAAATACCAATTATTGTTAATGATTTGATTGTATTTTGAAAAAAAAATTATAATTGATTTTTTTAAATCACTGTGTTTTTTGAAAATTTATTTTTGTGTTTTTTTAACTATCAATTCACTTAATTTGTGATTTGATTTTTAACTCACTATGTTTTTTGAAAAACAAAATAGATTGTACTCATTAGGGTCAAATAATGTACCAATTATTGATGATGATTAGATTGTATTTTGACCCAAAAAAATTGTAATTGATCTTTTTAACTCACTTTGTTTTTTGAAAAATAAATTATTGTGTTTTTTAATTATCAATTGACTTAATTTGTGATTGATTTTTTTAATTATTGATGATGATTAGATAGCATTAAAAAAATTGTAATTTGTATGATTAAAGTTATTTCCTTTTGTTTATAATTTTATTTTTTAATATGATTGAAGTTAGATAAATATAAACACAAACACTTACAAAAAGAAAAATGTGATTATAGTTTGTTCAATAGTTCTAAATAATCTTTTTTATTTACTATTTTAACGGTTATTTTTTTTCAATTATTTTTTTTATTATAAGAAAAATGTCATTGTAGTTAGATAGCATTAAAAAAATTGTGATTTGTATGATTGAAGTTATCTCCTTTTGTTTATAATTTAATTTTTTAATATGATTGAAGTTAACTCACAAAAAGAAAAATGTGATTGTAGTTTGTTCAATAGTTCTAAATAATCTTTTTATTTACTATTTTAATGGTTCTTTTTTTCAATTATTTGTTTTATTATGAGAAAAATGTGATTGTAGTTAGATAGCATTAAAAAAAATTTGATTTGTATGATTGAAGTTATCTCCGTTTTGTTTATAATTTGATTTTTTAATATAATTGAAGTTAGATAAATATAAACACTCAAGGGAGTTTTTAAACAAAAGAGAGTTTTTAACCCCAAGGCCTGTGGGAGTTTCAATATTTCAATCTGAATTTTTTAAATTTTTTATTAAAAAAAAAACTCAGCATTTATTAATTTGGTCAAAATACCCTAATCAGCATTTATTAACTTTTTTCAATCCACATGCCTGCCGTTATTGATTTGATCAAAATCTCCTGATCAACATTTAAAATCCCCTCATACAAATAACTATAGATACAATCTATGTATAATTACTGCAGTACCCTTTTCAACTTCTCTAATACATTATGGTTAGTGATAAGATTGTTAAATTATTTTTATAAAAAATCTTTAAAAACATAATTTATATATTAAAAAAAATCTAAAACAAATATAAATATTTATAATTATCCAGTGCATAGCACGGCTAATAGACTAGTATTTTATTAGAGAGAAATAACTTAAATAAGTTAAAAAAAAAAAATAGATTATTTAAAAGTTGGAGAATGGATGCTTTTAGTTCCTATTTTTTGATTATCAATTTTTTACTTAAAAAAAGGTTTCATCAAACAAGTCATTGTGTGATGGAGATTAATTTATATAGTATAGAGTTCATGTGTAAGATAAATTTAAATCACAAGATGAAAATTTTAAATAATTTTTGAATTGATAAGAGTATGTTTGTAATATTTTTTTTTTTTGTGAATAAGAAAATATGTTTGTATGTTTGTAATATAACTCATTAGGGATAGAAGATTTGATGCCAAAATTATCCAATCACTACATCTAATTTTTCATTCATTGTTTGAATAGAATGAACAGAATTTCATTTATAGCTAAACCCATTTGAATAGAATGAACGGAATTTCATTAATAGCTAAACCCATTTCACCTTAATCTTTCACGTCTTTCCATCTGAATGTGGCCTATAGGTTAAACATAGTGTAAATTGACCTTTGGAAATTTTTAATCCGAACTTTCGTGTTGAGAATGCATGTCAATTGATTTATTAAAATAACATAAAATTCATTGACCTTGATTTTATTTATTTTTTAATAACTCAGAGTGTCCGGACCAACTTGCGCGCACTTCGACTAATCCCTGAGGGACCAAACTAACCCTGATTTTTATTATTTGACAATTGAAGTATCCAAAGTTAAAATTTATTGACTACTTGAGCAATAAAACCACAACTACAGTCTTACAAAGGCCGTGTTTATGTGAGGTTAATTTATTTATTTATTTTGATTATAGAATGTTAGTTTATTAGTAAAGTTATATTACAATTAAAGGAGCCGTCGCTGCTCTATTAACTTGAACCATGACATTCTCCTCACCCCCAACTTAAGGTATGACTACAAAATCATTGGATCAAACCCAAAAATTAATTTAGGTGAGAAATTTAGAAAGGGAGTTCAAAAAGGAAAAAAATAAATAAATTATCTTACAATTCATTGTTTTAAGATTCCCTGTTTGGATAACAGAAATGGTGAGAATGATCAAAACCTACAAGGGATTTGAAGCATGGATTTTCACAACAGGTAATTTTGAAATTCTTAAAAGATAGGATAGATATATTAAGAGCTTGGAGCACTCTAATTACATAGATTTTTTATAGGATAGATATATTAAGAGCTTGGAGCACTCTAATTACATAGATTTTTTATTTTATTA